AAGAAAAGTCTTCAGCCTGGATTTAAAAGTAGTCAGAGTTGCGGCGGACCTGCAGGTTTCTGGGAGTTTAAATAACCAGCAGCAGTATTTAGAAATCAGTTATTTGACCCACAGGAAGCCAGAACTAGAGTGATGTGATTGAGGGATGCATTATAGATATTTAATATTATTTTAAATGCATTACAATGTTTGAGCGGAACAATTTATAAACTGTACAGGAAATCAGGAATGTAAATAGTGAACACAATAACTGAAGGAAGTTAAAGAAAAAAAGCCTTTGGGATAAAGTACAAGCAGAGAATTTCCAGTGGAGAGAGATCGGTTTTCTTCTTGGACTAATACCTAATACTGCCTCGTGAAAAAATGCTCATCTTCCTGAAGCTTGCTTATTGTTCTTTGGCAGTTGGTTCAACTAAGAACTTTAAAGGTCCCATGTCATGCTTTTCTGGTTATTACCCGTCCCCTTGTGTGTTATGTAGCTTTTTATGCATGTGAACGGTCTGCAGTCACAAACCCTCAAAGTACACCCTGTAAACACAGAAAAGACCTGTTTATGCTGCCCCAGAACGCCTCGTTGGAAATGTCTTTTTCCAATGTTTTCTTCCTGGGTACAGTGACGTGCCCATACACAAATGGACCCATTGGGCCAATCCATGGAGCCGTTACCTCACACACAATCTTTTCTCAGCTGCAGCTCTGCCAATTTCTCCTCCGAGACGGCGGGACGCGGCGAGGCTGTGAGTGAGCACACACAAAATCCCTGACAGGCTGCGGGTGTGTGTTCGGGCTGGTTTTCGCTGTGTCTCGCTCACAGACGACCACTGGGCTCATAGGGAGGGGGGGGGCAGGAGCTCCAACAAGCTGTTTAGGACAGAGAGTGAATACACATACTATACAGAGATGCTGTATGAGAAACCAATGAGATTTTGGAAAATTGCACAATTTAAATCTATTTTAGTATACCTCATCAATGGAATTATGATCAGTAGAAATGGCCATGACATGGGACCTTTAATAATGCAGGATTAAGGCTCCGAAATTAAGCACATGTTCAAAACCTCATTACCCCTGCTCTCCAAGATTATAAATTATTTAGATATCACTCAAACACAATTTACAGAGTCAATTTAAAAAAACATCTTATACCAACATGGTTTACATTTCTTCCACCCCCCTCAATAGTCCATTAATGAGCAGGCAAACAGGATTTCAGAATCTTTACAAATTTATTATGTGGAAAATATCACATTGACATGAATAGTTCACCCTGTACTACATGTTTGCAGCACAGCCTTGAGTCTTGCTGGGCACTTTGCAAGCCTGCATTTGATTTTCTTTCTCTGTGCAGAGCCTCAGTCAGGTGGGATGGGCTAATGGTGATCAGTGGACGACCATTCTCACATCTCAGATGTTCGACTTGGTTTAAGTCCAGGTCCTGGCTGGGCAACTCAGGACGTTTAGAATGTTAAAATATCAATATCAGGTTCATGCGTGTCTGAGATCCAGAGCACTCTTAACCAGGTTTCCAAGAGCTCTGTACTTTATGTGCACAATTTAGTCCCCCCCCCCCTTAAATCAGTCTCTGCAGCTGGAACCTCCTGCATGGTACAGGTGATGAACAGTCAGGTTTCCTCCAGGCATCTCTCTTAGAACTGAGGCTTAACAGTTCATCCATCTCATCAGACCAGGAATCATGCGTCGGCTCAAAGTGGGCTGCTATGGCTCTCCAGAGGTGGTGGCACACAGGATCTCTAAGGCTCAGCCATCTTGTTATTGGTCATTGTTATTGGACAAAGTCAAAACACATCTAAGCTTTGACTGCAAATTTGCGGACGGAGTAGAGGAGGTCTTTCCTCTGCTGTTTCTTGGTCCGCAGACCCTCCTCATGCTTGTTGAGCCGGCGGCGCAGAGCTCTGGTCTTCTTGGGTCTCAGATCCAGGGGCTTGTACTTCTTGCCCTGAAAGAAAGGACATTAACTTTCAGTGGCGCTGAAAACATATTTGGTCCAAATGCAAAGAGACAATAGTGAAGGACAGGAAAATAAAATGTGAACAGCTTAAGATGTCGAAAAGTTTGACATTTTATACTTTAAAGTAATGTCTTCATAAGAATTATTTAGGAACACTCAGGTCATCTCAAGTCTCAGTCTTTTGGTAAGCAGTTGAGAATACATCAGCAGATCATCAGCTCAACATGTATCATCTTTGACTTGAGATCCACACAACGAAGGGGGGGGGGGGGTTTACTGCTAACAGGAAGCTTCTCGCTCTTACCTTGTAGAACTTCCTCAGGTTCTCCTTCTGCGTCTGGTTTATTACAGTCAGAACTCTGGCGACGGCCTTGCGGACAACACGGCTGCAGAGAAGACAAAGTGGATTAGCACAGCAGATTTCAGATTACTTTTAGCAAAACATAAATCATGTTGGATCCCCATGAGAGAACACAGTTCTAAGAGGATTGCACATTTATAACTCCATTCAATCAAAGGACTTCACTTTTTAAAATGCTGTCAATTCAGATAATGCAAACAAAACAATGGTTTGTTAAATGTGACTAATGTCAAAGCAGTACACTGGTACATGTCTAGGTAGATTCTTCTTACCCTGAAAGAATAAAAGTTACCTCCGTCATCTCAAGTCTCAGTCTTTTGGTAAGCAGTTGTGAATGCATCAGCAGATCATCAGCACAACATATATCATCTTTGACTAGAGATCCACGCAGGACTTTTTTTGAAATTCTACCATTTATAAAAGTATCTTCATTCACTGCCTCCCTGGTTAAACCATTTCATACCGTGAGTAACGTTACTTACATCTTGGAGATCTTGGACGCGGCTCCTCCGGTAACCTTCGCCACACGGAGCTGGGAGAGCTCGTTCTTCAGGTCGTCCAGCTGCTTGAGCAGCTCTTCCTTCTTCTTGCCCCGCAGATCTCTTGCCTTGATCTTGGCCTGGAAAATGACATTTATATATGAGACAGTGGCACATCGGACTCGCACCACCTCAGAGGGAAATGGCAAGTAAAATTCTCCACTAGTTTGGTTAACAGCAATGTACCGTTTGTTACCTGATCTGTTAATCACATTTTATTTTACACCCTTTTAAGCTGAAAACAATATCTCAAACGACTCGATAACAGGAATAACTGCAGTGAATTAACACTGAAAATGTATTCCAAAATGAACATGGTTCTCGGTTTGGGTTTGTTCTGATGATGAACCATAGGGGGTGAAAATAATCTAGGGATAGGCCTACTCTTTCAATTTCTATGGCGGCCATTTCAGACCGGGAACTACATAGGCGTTACAAAGTTGGCAATTCATTGAAAGTGGGGGGGGGGGGGGGGGGGGGGGGGGGGGGGATCAGCAAAGTTATATGTTCAAATGCCTACCGTGGAGGATATGTAAAACACAATATTTATGATTGATCAAAGTAGTAAACACGACAGAAGGGCTAAATAGGTTACCAGCATTAACGAATACCCATGGCTATACATGAGCAAATCCTATTCAGCAATGCTTCCACGTGTTAACTGCTAGTAGCTTAGCTTGACACGTTGGTAGCTATACAGTCTATGGTTGGTAGTAGCAAGGCTTCACAAAATAACATTAGGTTTCAGCAGCGTGCTAATCAACACACGCAAGAACGGCTACCCGAGAAGCGTGTGTGTACGTGTAGCATTCATGTTATAAATTAAAAAAGTGGATGTGAATGAACGAGTGAAGGCTGCTCACCATGTTCTCCTCGCGGTGCTGTACTAGAAAGACCAGACACTGCGCGTGCTCAGAATATGTAGTAATTCTTCTTCGTGGATTTTAAGTCTCACTTTGATTCTACACAAACAGCGCCACTGGCGGCAGGGCGGGGTAAAGCTTTATACCTGAGCTAACCTGGCAGCGAAATGAAAAGGGAAGAACCAAATACTGTCTTCTTCAAGAACTCAGCACATGAAAAGTTGTCTATGTTATTTAAAACCTTTACAATAATTGAACAACTAACAATTATGAACAAATGCAGTAAAGCACTGTGGTCTCACAACAAGGTTCTGAGTGAAAACCTGCCAGCGGGCTTTTGTGTGTCAAGTTTTCATGTTCCTGGTGTCAGCTGTGCACCTGTCCTGTTCCCCCCCACAAGGCGTGGTTTTATGATTTAAAATGTGTTATTAACAAATGGGGGAAAGAAACCTTTGCAGTAGCAGCAGTGAAAACAGAATAAACAGAAATATTCAGCAGATACAACTTCATACACCAGGAGAACAACACTTAAAGTACTGTTACTGATAATCCTATGCAGACAGCACTTCAATGTAATTCTGCTTCATATTGCATGCAAAATAATAAAAACAAATGAAGGTAATTGTAGGGCTAATTTAGAGATTCAAGGTCGGCAGCAAACATGCAGATTCCCTGGGCTCTCCACAGATGTGAAAATAAAGCTCATCATGTTGGAACTGATATCAGCCTGAGGAAGCATTATGTTGGACAGAGTGACACACTGAGGCAGAAACCATGTATGTGTTGTGATCTTAGATAAGAATGATAAACACTGCAAACTGGTCACATCCAAACATTTACATCCACAGATTTATAAAGATTTCAATGCATACAGTATGTACATATTTCTATATATAAATAGACATGTGGAATGTATTTCATTTACATTAGCAAAGGCAGGTAAAGGTAGGTTTTTCCTACTTTCCCAAAGTCAAAAAGGAATGAAGAACCCCTTGGGAAATACTGTTTTATGTAAATAATGACGTCTGAAGTGATTGAGTGGGTGGACACCTTTTCCTAAGATTTGTCTGAGTAGAGCAGACGGTCTCACACTTTGAAAATCCCCTTTTAATTATTATTATATATTATTATTAATAATTATAATTGGAATTATTCAAATTTTACCCGGACCTGAGCCTCCAATGCAACATTTACGAACAATGTTTATACAATCCTGCAACAAGCACAACTGCTGGATTGGTAGACCTTAACTCTACTTGTAAGCAAACACCCTGTCCTAGAATAAAGATCAATCTGTTTCACATGCACCTTGGCCATTAAACCTATAATAACATGTAGTACTACTCATTTGAAACTAATACACCAGCACTTACAATGGTTTGTCTTTCTATCGTGTATTGCAGTTATTGTAAGACGCTTTGGACAAAAGGTTAAGTTAAATGAAATGTAAGGTTTTTCCTGCTTTTTTTATTGGTTGCAATGGTTTAATTTATTTGATTCTAACCATGGTTATTGTACCAAGTGGCCCCAGCATGGGCAAGACGCTCATAAAACCTGGAGTGAAAGAGGCCCTTTTATGCTTTTTGGGGGTTTCCCACACACTCCCCTCCCCAAAAAAACGCCTCCATTGGACTCCTTTGTTTAAGTCCGTAGCATAGTGATACGCTTCTATTGGCTAACGCTCCAACCCATTGTACGTGATAGGTTAAGGGGCGGGACATCTCTAAGCGGTTGACCAATCACAACAGAGCCGGCCAGCTAACCAATCAGAGCGGGAGGCTGTGGCTCAGTGGGTAGTGTGCTGGACTTGGAATCAGGGGGTAGCAAGTTTGAGTCCCACTGCAGTCAGCATGTCGTTGTGTCCCTGGGCAAGACACCGCAAATTGCTCCTGTGGGGATTGTCCACAGTACTGAATGTATGTAAGTCGCTTTGGATAAAAGCATCTAACAAATGACATGTAATGTAATGTAATGACTGGGCTCTGGTTTCAGACAGAGGGTGAAAAGAGGTGCAGGTAGTATGAGAAAAAATAAAGCACAATGTAAGCAGCAAAACCACTGAATGCATAAAGTGAGTAGGAAGTATTTTATTTCTCACTAAACAACCTTTTCATTTGTAAGGGAAAGGATGTTTTATTTTAGATTTTTTTGCATCACTTTTGTCTCACCAAATCTTGATCTCTGTACCACACCCTGCAACAAAACCATGCATTCATTATCTTCACACAGCAAATTATTTAATTTATTTCACATTTTTACGTTACTATGAGGGCTATAACAAGCATGGGGTAGCTTCCCATTAGCATACTGTATAATGAATAGGACGTGATAAAAGTAATTAACACCTTTAGACTGAAATAATATGAGCACAGTAACAATGAGTGTCAGTGTGCAGAAGCCTTTACTCCCACTCATATAATGAGTATAAAAATATCTTTTTAAATCATAATTCCTCCTCATACTCTTGAGCTATAACTCCATTATCATAATACATCTCCACTGTGCTCTCTATCTGGTATATTACTTTACTTGCAGCTTTACATAAGAAAGAAATCCAGACTGTATTTGCGTGGCAAGACTATATTTAGTGCTCCCTGGCATATGGTGTTATGAAAACTACGCAGCTATTACCTCAGGACATGGGGATGGGGGAAATGAATGAACGTCGGGACCCGGGGGGATTTAATTAATATATTTATATATATTTTTAGATTGGCTTTTTACTAGCGACATCCCCTTTAATTGGTACTTTAATTTGTATTATTTATTTCTTTTTATATTGTTTTAATTATTCATTTATTTTATAGGTTTTTATTTATATTAGTTATTTTATAGTTTTATAGCGACATCCTCTTTTGAATTGGTAATTTAATCTTTATGAACATTTATTCATATTTTATTGTTATTCTTTTAATAGTTTTTATTTTATTTTATAGGTCTTTTTATTGTATTGTATTCCTTTATTTCACCCAGAGGGATCATTATTTATTTTATGGCATTTTCTTTTTATTACCTTATACCTCCTCCTTTCCCTTTGAATTGTAACACTATGTTGTTGTTACTTTGAGCTGCACCTGGTGTATGAAAAGTGCTATAACAATTATTATCATTATGATATAATCCCACTCACCTCAGTCTTTGTGCATGTCTGGTGTGAGTGGCTGTGGGCATGTGCATGTTGGCCACCCCCCTTCAACACACACATACCTTGCCATCTGTTGACATGCAGCTGTTCAAAAATAGCCCTCTAGAAGCTACCCTGAGTGGCCCACAGATAAGCACAGATTGTATCGCGTGTGTGTGTGCACATTGTTGTGTTTCTATGAAGACCATGTGTTGGCCGGCATTAGTCCGAAACCTCTACAAGACCTTTTGATTGGCAAGTCTCCATTTGTTGTGTTTTTTTTAGAAGCTATTCAACTAAACAATGGAGGCCATTCCCGACCAGTTCATGGAGTTCCACCCGATCCACGGTGTGAACGTGAGTCTGGACCTCTCGGGAACACGGGCTACTCGCGTGGAGAGCTTTGCAAATGGAGTGTGTTTCAGCAAACACCCTCTGAAGCCCGGGGAGATTTTTCTCATAGAGATCGAGGAAAAGGAGGTGGGCTGGTGTGGCAACCTACGAGTCGGCCTGACTTCTAGAGACCCTGGAAACTTAGACGTGGTTCCTGAATACTCCATCCCAGACCTGACTGATTCGGGGGACAGCTGGGTGTTCGCCATCACTCGAAACCACAACAAAGTGGTAGAAGATCCTGGAGATGGAGGTCAAAGGCTCGGTCGTGGAGAGCCTGGAGAAGAAGCAGCTGAAGGATATCACAACCTGAAACCACAGACCTTCTTCACGGACTCTCACTTGTACGTTGACAATGTTCGGATCCCCAGAGACAAGCTGGTGGGACGGAGCAGGCCTGGACGCTACAGCCACATTTTAGACGACTTGTATAAGACGAACGCTCTTCCCCCCACGGCCAGACGCAGCCGGATAGGAGTGCTGTACACGCAGAGAGGACCAGGCCTGGCTGATATGCACGTTGTGATCAATGGGGAGGATATGGGAGCTTCTGCTAAGGGGATCCCCTCCATCCAGCCGCTCCACGCTGTGGTGGACGTGTTCGCTGCTACCAAGTGTGTCCGAATCGTCCAGGTGGAGTATGGATGTGAGTGTCACAGTGGAACCATGGTTTACATGGTAATGTGTCTCAGAGACAGAAAAAGGACTCAGGGATGTTTTTTGTACTTATTGTGGTCGGTTTGAGTGTCTTTGAAGCTGCGTTGCATGTCAAATGTCAATGCGATTGTCTTTCTTCTCTTTGTAGATGCCCTGCATGTATTTTAAGTCTTTTTGCATCCTGTTTAGTCTCTCTGGTCTTCTTTAAGTCGCTTTGTGTCTCATCCTGGACACTGTGTGACTCTTTGCAGTCTTCTTGTGTCTCTTTAGTTTCTTTACATCTCTTTGTAGTTGTGTTGTGTCTCATAGAGAGGCGAAGTCCCGCCCTTCTACTTCCGCCCCATGGGACCTTATTTCGGAAAAAGTATGTATTGAAGTCAATGGGGAGAGAAAGATTATCTTTCGATCCCGTTTGAATTGTGCCACGAATTACACATGATGTTTGTCAATCTTAAAAAATAATTTCCATGTCAAAAAAGTCACAGTTTGTCGTAAAACTGTTGAAATACAAGACTATGAAAAATATGCAACTAGAAAGACTACAAATCCCAGAATCCCGGTCCCGCATGCTGGCTCTTATGAACCGACTAACTCCCCTTGTGTGTATGCACAGCTCTCAACATGCCCAGACTTGGAGTGATTTTCACCTCTTTTAATACTTTCCGCCTCATTCTGAAAGAAAGAAGTGAAATGTGCCAACGTGACGGCCATCTTGGTGTGTGGTGCGAGACGGGAGATGTAGTTCATTGAGTGGTTTCACACAAAAAAAAGTGTTACTTCACAGTTTTACGACACAGTTTTATTTTTTTGACTTGCAAAATTATCTTTTAAATTGACAAACATCATATGCGTAATTCGTGGCACAATTCAAACGGGATCAGAAGATAATCTTTCTCTCGCCATTGACTTCAATGCATAACTTTTCCGAAATAAGGTCCCATGGAGGTCCCCCGGAAAGGGAGGGACTTCGCCTCTCTATTGTGATCACTGTGTGTCATTTTCTAGTTAATTTGCATTTCTTTGTGGCCTTTTTGTGTTTATTTGACGTCACTTTGGGTCCATTTGAAGTTGCACTGCATCTATTTGGAGTCGTTTGGAGTCTCTTTCTAGTTGCTTTGAATATGGTCATTTTAAATCTCTTTGTCGTAATTTTTCCCTTTCTTTTCTTGCTTTGTGTCTTAATCTTTTGGTAACTGTCAGTTTGTAGGAGTTTTGCACCATCTGGTTGGTCGTTTTTGTGTTGGTTTTGCGTCTCGTTGTGGTTGTTTTATTTGACTCTCGTCTAGGGACCCATTTCAGTAATGAATCCATGCTTAAATTCTTCATTCTTCTTTACTTTTATTCTGCTAATCCACTGTCTTTTCGTGTTTTTTTGTTTCTCTCTCGGTTGCTCCAGTCTCATCGTTGCAGACGTTGTGCAGGAAGGCCATCCAGAAGCACATCGTCCACCGGATGGCCATCGACTGGCTGGAGCTGCCAGAGGCCATGAAGCACTACTGCAAGTATGAATGAAGGAGACTCACCTGAAATGGACACAAATATCACCTCAGAGATCTTTCACACTTTCTACCTAGAAAATTATGTTTATTTTGATCATGGAAGTCTGTGTTTAATCTATAAAATTAAGCCACAAGTGTCATGTTAATACCTGCCAGACAGTGATTTTGCTCGGTTTCATGAACTGTTAACTAATAAACTCACAGTTTTTGCTAGGCTGTCTGTCTGAGTCTGCTACTTTCTTTGTTACAGATCAAACGGTTCATATTCTGAAGAAGCATTTTGTTTAAAGTTACATGATAATGAGAAAAAGTGATGTTGATTTGAATATAATCAACCCTAAAATGTAAGCAATGTATTTTCTACTCGGATTGAGATTTAAGAATAGTTAATAGTTCAAAATGTGGCCTCGCTATAGTCCAAGGTGTTTTTTCTTCTTCTTTGTGATCTATCTATGTCTACTGTTGTTTTGGTTACAAAATGGTGTGTCAAAAAGCAAGTACCAATTTTTAGAGATTAGATTATGGTTGATGTCGAAAAGTTATAAAGATTTTCTACAAATGTGACAACAAATATTAACTTTTATACATATGGTCTGGACCGTAGACTCATTTCAGTAATCCATCCATAATTTAGTAATTCCTCAAAATGTAGTTTCCAATTTCTTTATATTTTCCACACTCTTTTTGATTGTTTTTGTTCAACTTCTCTGTTGCTTCAGTGACTGAGGTAATTCAGCCATAGTAAATCTGTTTCAGGGTACACTCACCATAATACAGTCTATGACACTCACCTGTCAGTGTGCTTAGAGCTCTTATTATACATCCATGGTTTAGAGCCAGTGAAATGCCTCCATGCAGTTCAATGCAACACCTCCACCTGCAGCTCGACACCGCCCCCTGGTGGTGGTGGAGGGAACTGCAAGGGGCGGAGCTCTCGTTAAATCTGCAGCCGGGATCTGTCTTCTTCACACGAGAGGAAGAAACACGGGAGAGCTTCCGGTCGTCTGTCACTGAGGCTGGAAGAAATACTAAACTGAGATTTATTTCGCCTTATGCTGATCCGTGCTGACACACACATACACACTTCATACACACAGCATGTCTTTCTGCAAATTTTTTGGAGGTGAGGTCTACAAGGATCATTTCAAACCAGGTGAGCAGGCTGTAACAGTGATGTGATGTAACCTCCTTCAGTCTGGATTATACAGGATAACACTCACATTTAGAGCTCATGTTTAGACTATTTTTGGTTTCAAATTAACTCATTTTGATGGAAAAATATCATTGGATTATTGTGTAATGTCAGAGTGTTGAGTGGATTGGAAGTGCACATGGTGTCAACAATTGGGGATATTTATTCATTATTATTTGAAATATGTATCTGCAGTTTCTACTATGACTACTACTACTACTACTAGGCTGCTACTACTACTACTACTACTACTACTACTACTACTACTAATAATAATAGTTATTATGTCATATGAACGTTTGTTTACTTAATGTTTATTTTCTTTATACGCAAGGAAACATTTAATAATTATAACTGCAATGTTTAAGCCAAGGCTATACATTAAAAGCCTGATATAATAAAATGAATGGTCTTATGCTTTAACACAAATTCTTCATATGCTACACATGTCCCCAGTCAGGCACACAGATTAAATGAGTAAGTGTCTCAGGTAGAAAATGAAACAATATCTTTAATAAGTATCTGTTCCTGCAGGGATGTATGTGTGCTCCCAGTGTAACCACCCGCTGTTCTCCAGTCGATCAAAGTTCGCCCACTCGTCTCCGTGGCCGACGTTCACCGACACCATCCGAGAGGACAGTGTCACCAAGATGATGGAGAGCCTCACTGCCTTCAAGGTCAGAGTCTCCTCCACCCGCTCTGTGTTACTGCACCATGCACACAGATCAAATGTATAGACATATATTTATTAGGATAAACCCCGTGAGATGCACCATTTCGTCTTCATGGGGGTCCCGACAAAAGCAACGTTTTACAGACATACATGGACAAAATAACAGAAAGCAAAGCATGACAAACAAGCTGGACCTGGACCACGTATGTTAAGTACAATTCATGAAGTAATACATACAATCGTTACAATCATTACAATTTGATAGACAGTAGTGTCTAATAGATCAGTTCCATCAATAACAAAGGCAGACCAGCTGAAAGTGAGGTGATAATGCACGCTTAAACATACCCAATGAAATACCCCAAATATTTAATCCAGTTGTCTAAATGTCAACATGTGTGTTTTATCTCATAGGTTCTGTGTGGCAAGTGTGGCAACGGGCTGGGCCATGAGTTTGTAAATGACGGCCCGGAGGAAGGAGTGTCACGATTTTGAATATTCAGTACCTCGCTCAAGTTTGTCCCGAACAAAGGTAAGATGATCACAGATATGAGTGAGGCTGTATTTTTAGCCTAGAGTTAAAAATAATGAAAATCCTTCATTCTTTCTGTACAAAGCATGAATGATGATGAGTGATTTATCTCCATTCATTTAGCTTTGTAGCAAGAGAGACCTCGAAGCAAACAGCCAGTATATACGTGGCTAATTATGACTGAGAAAGTTGGGGGGGGGGGAAGGGTTTTGTGTGATTGGTTAAACTGACATTTTCTCACGAGCTAATGTTGCTTTCTTATAAAATACTTTCGAACTTGCATTGCTTCCTTCTTACTGGCACAGTGCTGTGTCTCTCTTAGCATCACCTGTATATCAATAACAAGCCTTAATATAATAATGTACATGTTTACTTGAGTTTTTAGCTTTGGTGTTATTGTGAATCAACATATTTCTGACTTCCAGTGAGTAAGTTAATTTCTCTTTTATCTCTGTTCCAGGTAAGGACAAGCAGTAAAGAGCGAGGCGTGGGTGTCTCTCCAGCTGCTGCTCCAGGATCAGTGAACGGGTCGGTCAGTGTGTGACGTGGACGGGATAAAACCCGAGAGGGACGTCCTGTCCACTGAAGGATCTTTGACCAACCTGTGACCTCTGAAAATACTCCTTAACAACTAAAATGTTACCTCATATTTAAAGTGGACCCATCATGCTATATTTGAATAATATAGTATAGGACCATACCTATGTAAGGCATATTTATACTTTTTTTTTTTTCAAAATACCAAACAGATCATGCATTTTAGCCATGCCTCATTTCGCTCAATTTGAAAAATGTTAGCTCTGTTTTTGCAAGGGTTGATTCTGTGAGCAACAGCACCATCTACAGGCCTGGCATATGTACTACAGCGTCTCCAGCGCTTTCGAACGGCAATGGCCGTGGCTGTCTCCTCCTGATTGGTGGAGTTGGCCCAATAGCCGTAGCGCCACCGTCCTGACGTCAGGACAGTGTTCAAATCTGGATCAGTTTTTATCAGATCCGTTGCAGCCCCTTTTTTAGAGATTTGGGTATGGAGGAAAATAGAGAGGGTTGTGTTTTCTGAGACTTGGTGAGTTCCCTGGAACACCGGGGACACATATTCATGTATAAAAGACGTACAAAAGTGCATTTTGCATTATAGGTCCCCTTTTAAATACATTGAACTCCATGATTAAGATTTTATCAGTAGATAATTTTGAGCAAGAATTGACTTTTCTGCTGCAGAATCTGCTTTATATTGCTGGTACTATTGACTCTATTTCACTTTAATGTGGCCATACTATCTATGCACTGAACAAGTCCACATTTCTGGTCAGTTTGGGTGTCTGTTTTTTAGCAAAGAAACTGAACTGTTTTTGTCTGCGACATTATGTCCTTTTTTTATTTTATGCACTTTAAGACTTGAACAGATTTTTGGTTTGTGCGTTTTACTTTTAAAATCTCACCTTAAAGTCAATATTTATTGGACTTAATAAGCTCTACATTTTGATTTGTCTTCAACTGTTACAGGATGTGACAATAATTCACATATGAAGAAACAAACAATAAATTATAGTTTGATAGATTTTTGTCTTGTCCTTTTTCATTCATGTTATTATAATGAAAATGAATAAATAATACTATCCTTGAACATTGTTAGTAATAGTAACCACATACAGGGGACTAGGTTTTCTGACCTCTAGATGGAGCTAACATCCTGCTAAATCACATCAACTCCTCTGCCGATGTGAAAGTCTGATGCAAAACATATGCATCTGTTCTGACTCTGCACATGTGGAAGCTTGCTTGATATGAACACAAGTTGTGCGTGTTTGTTTCCATGCATTAATTATGAATGCTGCTTGTGGCTCTCCAGCTGGAGGCCGTCCTCTCTGGGTAAAGACTGTGAGGTTAAGAGGAGATCCTGGTGAGGGACTGAGAGCTATCATTACAGGGGAAGCACTCACACGCACAACACAGGGTGCATCCCAATCCACTTCAAATGAACATACGTTTCCCTCTTTTGCATCTTTTCCAGGAAGGCAACCATGCAAGACCAGAATGAAACAAGGAAATATTAAAAAAAGATATGTGATGCACCTTTACACACCAGTAAGGAAACCATGCAAGGAAAGAGGATACAAGGAAATATCAATTAAGACACTTTTGATGTACATTTGCACATCCATAAAGAAACCATGCAAGGAAAGAGGTAACAAGGAAATATAAAGAATTGGACTTGTCATCAGTTAGGAAACCATGCAAGGAGAAATTAAACATCTAAAAAAAGACTTGTAATGCACCCTTACACACAAGTAAGAAATCATGCAAGTAGAGGAAACAAAGACTTATAAAATAAGAGACTTGGGCCACACCTTTTACACACCTGTAAGGAACAAGGAGAGAGGAAAAAAGGAAATATTAAGGAGTCTTGTAATGCACCTATCCACACAAGTAAGGAAACCATTCGAGCAGACAGGGAACAAGGAATTATCAAAAAAGAGACTTGTGATTCACCTTTACACACCAGTAAGGAACCATGCAAGGAGACAGGAAACAAAGAAATATCAATTAAGGGACTTGTGATGCACCCTTACACACAAGTAAGGAAACAACACGCCAGTAATTAAACCATGCAAGGATAAATGAAACAAGGAAATACCACATAAGAAACTTAAAGGTAGGGTAGGTAAGAATGGAGAAACCAGCTCGAGTGCGCTAGAATTTGAAAGTATGCAGCCGAAAAAAATCTGCCCCTTCCTTCAGACTTCCTTACAGAGCCCCTCCTCCAACACACACAAACGCGCACATGACCAATGAGGGCACGAGATAAGTTTGTGCACAGATGGAAGGCTGACAGGCAGGTAGGCCATCCAGTTATTTTAGCCGGACCGGCTCAGATGATTGGTCGTGCTTTTTACAGCGCCACGGCTTCCACAGATGACATTTTTTAATGTATTTATTGTCAAAGCATTTAATATATTCATTGCTATCGGGATGTTAAGAGCATTCCATGGAATATAACGAAAAGTGTTTCTGAAGTGAATTACCTACCCCACCTTTAAAATGCACCTTTACACACACAATCCCAGAAAACAGTGTGTGCAAATCAACACAATACTCCTTTTTAAGGTCACACACATTTCTCTCATCAATTTTCCTCCTATATTATGACATGCGTTCACTTACTACACCCTAACACGCGCCAAAACACACACACTGTGAGACAAACAAGTCCTCTATTTCATTAGTCTGGCCACAGAGTTCGCAGCGTATTTTCTCTCCAAACATTGACTTCTTGTAGTGTGCAATTACGAGGGGTCATCATAACATTCGTAAAAGTGGTTGCACTCTAAGCATCAACAATTTAAATATTCTGGAGAGCCACTACACATCCATCTAAAGGCACTTGAGCACGATGCCAGAGGTATTCAAATAAAGCCCTGGAGCCTGACCTTGCATTGAGGTTGTTACGGCTGAGTACATTTCCTCTTGTGTTGTCTTGGCAGAGAAACGCTCCACAGTTTATTCTTTTAACACAGTGTAGTCCGATTTGTGGATGTTTTTACTGTGCTGTGAGCGGTTGCATTTTAAACATAGGTGGTCCCGCTGGTAATCAAACCCACAGCCTTGGTTTCTGCTCTGCCCGTCAAAACTCTACAGGAGGAGGATGTATGATAAGCAAAAAGCAAAAACAAGGAGATGAGATTGCTATGTCAGATAAATGAGGGGAAGTCTAATTAAAGCAAGAATCCTAGGATCATCTTGAGCTGTTGTTAAATTAATCTGCAAGATTTGTTGCTACCATACTGTGACTAACTTTTTTTGATGGATTTACAGTACTTTAAAGGTCCCCTATTATACTGTTTTTCATCAATATATTATAGGTCTCAGATATATACAAAACATGTCTCTGAAGTGTTTGGCTCCAAACACCAAACAGATCATTGCAGCATCCCATAATCCCCTCTGTTTCAGCCCTGTTTCAAAAGTGCTGATTCTCTGTCTGTTACTTTAGATGAAAATAAGGAGCCCCTCCCCACGCCCCTCTGAGAGATATTTGGTTAAAAAGAACACAATGGTGCTCTAGGAGGAGATTCAGGTGATAAGGTGGGGGGGGGTTACCTTGGTTGCTGATTAGCTAATGGTTACACAAGCCAAAACATCGTTATGACATCATAAAGTGGTCAAAATCTGATCAGCTCATTTTCAGACAGGTTTTTATAAAAATGGATCAGGACAAAAAGTGAGAGAATCTTTGTTCCTGAAACTTTCAGAGTCTCTTTACACAGAGGGGACACATGTTGATGAAGAAGAGACATGAACAAGTGGATTTTGCATAATAGGTGACCTTTAACCTGTCTGCCTCTGAACCCAATCACTCATTAGCATACTTGCCAACCCTCCCGATTTTCGCGGGAGACTCCCGATTTCATAGCCCTCTCCCGGTTTCCTCCCGGGGTCATATTTCTCCCGCATGTTAAAACATGTTAGTTTTCTCAGACAACACCATGGATCAGTGTTGCCGTCATTTTAATTTACGTGGAAGAAGAAGGACTATTTTGGAGAGGAGTTTTGGGAAATGTAACAATGTCATTGGTGCTAGATTACCTTATCTTTCCCCTTTCTCCTTTTCTTTAACTGCTTTCGTTGTGTATACTTACAATACAATACAATACAATACAAGCTTTATTGGCACGACCACATTTTAAACATAGTATTGCCAAAGCCATCCGCCAAGAAAAACAAAAATAAACACTAAACATAAATGTCAACAATTACATGTGGCACGACAGCAAAACACTAAACGTACTGTATATGCCAACAACGTGCAAAAAAAACAACGATTTTACACTAAGCATTTCTGAGCATGTTTTTTCCGCCAGTCTCTCCCCCTTTACGTCACTATGATTAAAACCTGTCGTTGTGATTTTATTTGTCTTACTTTAAAACGTTCTTCTCAATAGACACCTCACTATATTTAAAAATGACATAATGTTATCCTCGGGGAAAATAAAATACGCCATTATACATAATTTGTTCTTATTCCAGGTTGACGTGATGCAGGTAAATTATAGTAACCTTCCCATCAGTGCTTTACAATCCTCTTTCTCTGGAATTCAAAGGAGTGTTTTGGCAACAGCAAAGCTCCGTGTGTCTGAACCACAAATACGTTGGTGGTACTGAACTGGTTTGAACAGAGATGCGGCTCATGAAGAGCTTCCTCCGGGCATTTTGTGCTCAACAACAAAAGATCAGCAACAATTTATCATCCCATCACTGACGCTACCTGCTGAGTGACTCATGTATAATCAGACCCATGCAGCGGTTAAAGTTTGTTCTGCTTTTTGTTTCACTCTCTAGTTATTGACTCAGTTTGTCCTTACATGTATATTGCTCAATATACAAACACATTTCTTTACAGACAGTAGTAAGTCAAACAAACCAAAGACACATGCCCTATCCTGTGCTTTGAATGCTAAACATTTTTGCCTTTTTTTATGTGAATACAAAAGTATAAATAATACAAATAAATAATAAAATAAATAATAATACTACAACTAACAATACAGTTTAATTTTAAATAATAATTCAATAATGTACATAATACATTAATGTGAAAACTATTTATACTGATAATAATACAAATAATTATAACAACAATTATAACAATTATTTCGTATATTTATACATTTACACCCATATAGCCAAAATAAATAAA